CAAGAAGGGGGTCTGATGGCCAAAAATTATTATTTTACTTACTTATGATTTTAAGTTAAATTGTGCTTTGTTGGTATCGTGTCTGCTAGAATGTTAAAAATGTTCAGTGTTAAATATTTTTCAATTGTTGTTTTGTAATTGATTTTTTTTCTTTGAAAAGCAAGACAAAACCGTAAAAAGCACATTTTGGCTTTTTAATTTATGCAATGGTGAAAAGAAAAAATTGGCAAAATACATGGGGAAAAAACTCGAAAAACTGTGTTCGGTATTCGGCCTTCGGCCCAGTGTTTAATTTTGTTCGGTTTTGGCTTCGGCCAAGAATTTTCATTTCGGTGCATCCCTAATTTTGACCACAAATGTTCGCAAAATTTAATTGCTCTTTCCTGTAACATATGATAATCATCAGCTGTCATTTACATTTAATATGACTGTTTTGATGTTAAAGGCATAGTTCACACATAAATCATACAGGTTTGAAACAACATAAGGGTGAGTGAGATGACAATTCTCATTTTTGCTTGACATTTTGATTCTAGAACCGCTTCTGTTATCAGATTAGGATTCAGTTTTATGACGGTCGAAATCTCAGTGCATCCTTATATCCTCACAGCAATGAAGAAAGAAAAATAAAAACAATTAAGTCCAGATCTGAAGAGTTTAAACTGCAAAAAAGAAAAACTGTTGTACTACCACTGATAATCAGATTAAGGTTGACAAAATTACAAAAATTAAGTCGTCCTCAGATAACAGCTCTCTTTATCTCACTATGTCGGTCTCACCTTTTATAATCGGCTTGACATTTTCTTACATCATACACTAGTGCATTGCGGAGGGATTATGTGTCTAAGTGGATGATTCATTTTCCTCAGCTCTTTGTATTGAAGGCTCCCCCAGTTCCTTCAAACTCAGTAGGCTCCATTTCAAACATAAACTGTTTTCCATTCACCAAATCTGGATCTACCCCTTGAGATGCTGTCGGGTCGGAGACAAAAGCGCTACACCTCTATGCTTTCCAGACCAAATCCGACAGGGATTCTCAAAGGTAGCGCAGTCTCTTTGTCTCTTCCGTCGTTCTTAATTTCTGTCAGGACCACTATCGTCAAAGATGACTGACAATTAGCATACAGTTTGTATTGGCGGTATGGTTCTGTTCTGGGTAAGAACTCCCTGCATGGATAGGAGCAGGGAGTGCAGCAATAACCCCCCAGGGTAAACAGAACAGAACCAACATAAATGTATTGCATATATCATTAAGGCTGTTTCAATAATTTAATGTAACATTTTAGAAATTAGTCTGATTCAAAGGAGAATCAGAAGGCTGAATCCTGACTGGCAAGAGGAGGAGTCGGGGATGGAGGTGAGCAATTAGCAATTGAGTAACGCGAAAGCTGGTGATAATACTGAAGGACCTTATATATGAGTGCTGTGATAGGTGTCGCATCCCTATAGGTAGACGTGGATCAGCTGAGAGTCAGCTGATGCGAGCTTGACTAACGTGACCTGCCAGAACTGATGCTATGCTTGATCTAAAATGTTTCATTTGAAAGCCTAGCAACTGCAGCA